TAGGCCCACGGTGACCCCCACAACCCCCGACGTCACCGCTCGACCAGCCCCTTCCGCCGGAAGGGGCCTGGGTCGAGCGTGGACGCCGGAAGTCCCTCCCCTTCCGCTGCAGGGGTCCAAAAGGGGGCGTGGCACCTGTCAAATTTGAGTTTGAATAAAGCTACCATTACCCTACTACTTATGTTTTTTCCAGTAGCGATGTATGGAAGTGAGAGCTGGACCATAAAGAAGGCTCTCTGCTGAAGAATTGGTGCTTTTGAATTGTGGTTCTGGAGGAGACTCTTGAGAGTCCCCTGGAGTGCAAGGAGATCAAACCCTGAGTGCTCACTGGAAGGACAGATCCTGAAACTGAGGCCCTAATACTTTGGCCATCTCATGAGAAGAGAAGATTCCCTGGAAAAGACCCTGATATTGGGAAAGTGTGAAGCCAAGAGAAGAAGGGGATGGCAGAGGACAAGATGGCTGGAAAGTGTCATTGAAGCTACCAACATGAATTTAACCAAACTCCGGGAGGCAGTAGAAGACAGGAGGGCCATGGGGTCACGAAGAGTCAGACACCACTTAACAGCTAAACAACAACAACATAGAAGAATCTGCTCATGCAAAATTTTCAAAACTCTAGAATATCAATTCAATTGCATGTACAGTACATGAATTCACTATTTGAATTCACCCCTCCAACACAAGTATATAAGAACAAATTGGCAAGGGCTTTAGAAGTCTTTAAGTGACAACAGTAGCTCCGGGATCTTCAGCTCCCCCACTCTTTTTGATGCAGATCTCTTACTCAAAGCCCCACTCTTTCTTAATCCCACCCCTTTTAGCTGAACCAATAGTTCATAGGGGTTACATTGGCAATTAGCTGTTCAGTTAAATCTGTTGGGATCTATTGCTATAAGCAGTAATGTTTATTCAGTATGCTGTCTGATCTATTCAGTATGCTGTCTGATCTATTCAACTGTGAGTAAAGGAAACCTTTTCATTTTTTCTCCTACTAATGTCTCATAATGAGTTACTGAGACTGTAAGTATCAGTTTGATGAGAAAAAAAAGCGGATGGTCTATTCAAAGGGGAAATTTTAATCTGTTCTGCTCTGTAAGTCCCTGCAGTTCTGCTGTGTAACTAGAGGAGTTAAAACAAAATTCAAAACTCTGCAAGACACACAACATATAGAGGAGATTGATAACCAGTCTGACCATGTTCCATGTCCAAGCTGGACCTTTTTGATTTAGCTGCGTGGCTACATTTTTTTATTTATTTATTCATTTTTTTTGGGGTGCAGGCTGGAGCAATTCCTATAGAGATGGAAAGGTCACTTTAAGGGAAATCACTTCCAACAGTTATCCTTCCTTGCTGTCTCATCACACAAGAGAATAAAACAGGCCACCCTTGTCTCTAAAACAGGTCAAGCATGAAGTGCTCTGTGGCAGCACGAGAGGCTGCAACTCCTGTGCCCAGTTCCCTTTGTTGCTTGTCACAGCAAAGCAAGAGTTGCACTCAGCCCTACAGCAGCAAACAAAAGACAAAGGTGGGCAAAGGGAATGGAAGAGTTGATTGTTGTGGGTTTTTCGGGCTCTTTGGCCGTGTTCTGAAGGTTGTTCTTCCTAACGTTTTGCCAGACTCTGTGGCCGGCATCTTCAGAGGACAGCACTCTGTGCTCTGGAAGAGACCTGGACCATTTACTTCCTCATGCAATCTCAGAGCTCTTAAAGGCATTAGCTGAGTCTTTTGGTTAACTTAAAAATGGGCAACCTGAATGGAAACTAGATGGCAGTTAGTTTGCTCTTTGACAGGGAAGCTGAGAAGTAAACCTTGCAGCATGCCCAACATAACATTTCTTTTCACTGCTATTCTAAAATATTGTTAGCAATGTAAAATAAATCACATTGTGAGAAAGACTGTAGGCTCTACATTATGTTCTCACATACATATGAGAAAGAGATGGAAGCTGGATGTGGGATAGTAAGAGCATAGTTTGCAGGAAAAGGCATTTTCAGTCTACCATAAAGTATGGAAATTTCAAGGTACAGTATTGTTCTCAACTCATTGTTTATTCTTGTCCCACCCCCTCCCTTTAAAAAAAGGCATACAGCTGTGCAGTCCAATTCCCCTGGGAAATTACCTACAGGGAAACCGCTATGTAGACTGGGATATATAAAAAGGACCTAATCGTTATGCTTTTTGCTTGAGTGTAATATACATATGCAGAAAATTCTGTATTAAAAACAATAAGAATATTTTGAAAAAGTTTGAAAATTCCCTCTTTACAAAAAGGACTTGTAATATTACTAATATTAGAATGAATGGGTGTATTTTTGGAAGCAAAATATGGCAAATTGAACTCCTTTTCTGGTTTTAAACTCAGTTTAATAACGAGTTCTGAAACAATACAAATTTCAAAATAACACTGTTTGAAACCTAAAATTTCTTTTCACTGCTATTCTAAAATATTGTTAGCAATGTAAAACAGATAGAAAGACTATAGGGACTACATTATGTTCTCGCATACATATGAGAAAGAGATGGAAGCTGGATGTGGGATAGGAAGAGCGCAGTTTGCACGAAAAGGCATTGTTAATCTACCATAAAGTATGGTAATGTCAGTGTATTCTTGCTCTCAACTCATTGTTTATTCTTGTTCCTCCCCCTCCCTTTTTAAAAAAAGACATACAGCTGTGCAGTCCAATTCCCCTGGGAAATTACCTACAGGGAAACCGCTATGTAGACTGGGATATATAAAAAGGACCTAATCTTTATGCTTTTTGCATGAGTGTTTGTGTAATTTGGCTGTGTGCCATAACAAATTAATAGCTGTTATTATCTCCAGTTGTTTTGATTTCCTGATATTGAAATAAGAATGATGCTAATTTATTTCAATGCAGATAGTGTTACTATTTTGAAAGAGAAATATTTAATGAAATAAAAAGATGGAAGCATGCCCTATTCCTTCATGAATGAAATTTTGAAGCAGGTTTTCTGGACTATCCGAAGAACGGTTCAGATGCATTTGTTGTTAGAATTTCAAGCACTGAGAGGCACCACCCTGGAAGCTTTTACTTTAATCCTTGGATTCTCAATTGCAGCCAAGAGCTTGTTGGGTTTTTGTTTTGCATGTTTCTCTCTTCCATTGCCTTTAAAATGCTAAATGTTCAGGACTAAATTTGGTCATGCAGCACTTCAAGATTCCCTGGAATGTCCTCAGGTTTCAGACTCCTCTGATAGACTCCAGCTCCACCTCCTGCCTTGTTGGATTGGTCTTTGCAAGCCAAGCGGCACAGCTGTGATCTTTCATTGGCCAGCGGTTCTTCATGTGCAGAACTATTATATTCCAGGCTGGAAGGAAGTTACAGTTCCTTCCATGTAACAATTCAGCACCTCTAACATAAGTTTCCTTGGACTTGCTTCACAACAACCCTACAATTTGCTCTTTCTTAGCTTATCTTTTATTGCTTTTTAAAATATAGACACAGAACAGAACAGGACAACCCCTTCAAACTGCCAAGATGTCCAGAGTAGCAAAATACAGACGGCAGGTCAGTGAGGACCCAGATATCGACAACTTGCTATCCACTTTGTCTCCAGAGGAGATGGAAGAGCTAGAAAAAGAGCTGGATGCATCTGATTCAGATGGAAGCATTCCTGTGGGGTTCCGGCAGAAAGACCAAACAGACAAGCAACCGAGTGGCAAATACAACCGAGAAGCAATGCTCAACTATTGCGAAAAGGAGTCCAAAAAACTTATTCAGAGGGAGCAGTCGCTGGATGTAAGTTATTGAATGTTGCTGTCTGGGGGAAAAGGGTATTTGTGTGCTGGAAAATGACAGCCACGTTCAGGCTGATTTGCTATGAAGTCCACTTAAGGGATGGAGCGGGGAAGTTTATTTTATTTTATTTATTTGTTCGATTTATATCCCGCCCATCTGGTATATTCTACCACTCTAAGCGGCTAAGTTAAGTGAGGCAAAAGATGAGGACTTATCCTTCTAAATAAAGATGCTGGTTATACTAAGGCACAATAGCATTACATGCAATGCCAGTTTTGCCAAAGTTAAAAGGAGCAAAACTGGGAGCCTTAACCTGTCAGCTTATAGCCTATCCTTGCAACTAGTGCATTCCCAAGAGCCTATGAAATTTAAGTCACTGGCAGAATGGCAACGTCTTGGGTTTTGCTAAGTGGCCAGATTATACTTCTGTGGTCCTCTCCCTTCATGATCACAAGGGGGCATGCTTACATAAGGAGCAGCAGAAAGTAATTGGCCAAAATCAGGTTGCTTAGAGTAGAAAATTACACTAGAGTAGGCCCATTTCATCAATGTGGACTTGGTGAATCAACTCCCGAATAAATTTCACTGAATCAAATGGGTCTATACTAGTTGTGACTTACTTTAGCATAGAAAGTTGCAGTTAGGGTAAGGTCATTTGGATTGATGGAATTTATGGAGGCGTTGAATCACCAAATTCTCCATTGATTCAATGGGCCTACTCCAGTGGAGAAACTTGGCTGTTGCCTCACAGGTCTGCTCAGAGCTCCAAGGCTGTTTGTTTCTAGCTGTCTTCCTGCTCTAGGTTCCCAAAGTTTCTGTGCTGAAGCAGTGGTTTAGGTCTCTGTCTGTGGAGAGTTCAATTCCCCATTGTGCCTCTTTGATGGGGGCTGGACTCAATGATCCACAGGGTCCCTTCCAGCTCTGCAGTTCTAATATTATTATATCTAAGACTCTGGGAATCAACCCAGTCTTTCTTCTGGAATGGCTATGTCAGATGTGTGGGAGAACTCACACTGTTGCTGAAACTGGGGTAAGGAGCTAAGGAAAAGAAATTGTTTTAAGCACTTCAAACATTTTTTTCTGGGCTTGTTGTTTAAGAGTTGCTCAATGCCTTAAAACTCTTTTTCCAAGCTAACCTCTACACCAAGAAAATCTTTCTATGCATCTGTTTGAAAGGTCAGGATCAGGAACAGAAACCATGGTGGCAGTCACAGGTGATATGCAGGGGTGGGATATATATTATAGTACTAAAGCGGATATAAAAAAATTACACACCTCTGTTAAAAAGTCAAGTGTCTTGATGTAAAAAAAAGAGACAAAGATAAATAATTTCAGAACTTTTTCCACCTTTAATGAGACCTATGAACTGTGCAACTCAGTTGAAAAACAAAGTGAAATCTTTTAGGGGTAGAGAAGTAAAAATAAAAAAAATGAAGTAATATGGTTGCATATGTGTGCACACCCTTAAATTAATACTTTGTTGAAGCACCTTTTGATTTTATTACAGCACTCAGCCTTTTGGGGTATGAGTCTATAAGTATAGCACATCTTGACTTGGCAAGATGTGCCCACTCTTTGCAAAAACGTTCCAATCTGTCTGATTGCAAGGGTGTCTCCTGTGCACAGTCCTCTTCAGATCACCCCACAGATATTCAGTCGGATTCAGGTCTGAGCTCTGAATATTCTTCTGGTGGAACCATTCCTTTGGGTGTATGCTTTGGGTCATTGTCATGCTGAAAGATGAAGTTCCTCCTCATGTTTAGCTTTCTAGCAGAAGCCTGAAGGTTTGGTGCCAATATTGACTGGTATTTGGAACTGTTCATAATTCCCTCTACCTTGACTAAGGTCCCTGTCCCAGCTGAAGAAAAACAGCCCCAAAGCATGATGCTGCCACCACCATGCTTCACTGTGGTTATGGTGTTCTTTTGGCGATGTGCAGTGTTGTTTTTGCACCAAATGTATCTTTTGGAATTGGGGCCGAAAAGTTCAACCTTGGTTTCATCAGACCACAACACTTTTTCCCACATGCTTTTGGGAGGCTTCAGGTGTGTTTCTGAAAAATTTAGCCGGGCTTAGTTGTTTTTCTTCGTAAGAAAAGGCTTCCGTCTTGCCACTCTATCCCATAGCGCAGACATATGTAGAATACAGGAGATTTTTGTCACATATACCACACAGCCAGTACTTGCCAGATATTCCTGCAGCTCCTTTAATGTTGCTGTAGGCCTCTTGACAGCCTCCCTGCCCCAATTTTCTTCTAGTCTTTTCATCAATTTTGCAGGGATGTCCAGTTCTTGCTAATGTTACTGTTGTGCCATCTTTTCTCCATTTGATGAAGACTGTCTTCACTGTATTCCATGGTATATGTAATACATTGGAAATTCTTTTGTACCCTTCTCCTGAATGATACCTTTTTAACAATGAGATCCCTCGGATGCTTTGGAAGCTCTCTGCGGACCCTGGCTTCTGCTGTAGGATGGGACTAAGAAAATGTCAAGAATGACCTACTAGTGCAGCTGATCTTTATTTGGGATTCTTCAGAGGTACTTTAAATGATGGTAGGGAGTACTGACTCCTATTTAACATGAGTTTGAATGTAATTGTTTACTACTGAACACAGCTACATCCCCAATTATAAGAGGGTGTGCACACTTATGCAACCATATTATTTCAGATTTTTATTTTTACTTCCCTCCCCCTAAAAGATTTCAGTTTGTTGTTCAACTGAGTTGGACAGTTCATAGGTCTCATTAAAGGTGGAAAAAATTCTGAAATGATTTATCTTTGTCTCATTTTTTTACATCAAGATACTTGACATTTTAACGGGAGTGTGTAAACTTTTTATATCACTGTATTTTCTTATAGCTGGCTGGATAGGTCAGTATCTCCAGTACCTGGTTGCGGAGCCTGAGGTTGGCAGTTTGATTCCCCGTGGTGCACCACAGGAGAAAGAGCCAGTCTGTGTGGCCTTGAGCAGCTGTGTTCTCACAGACTAATCCTAGAAGAAGCCGGTGATAAACCATATCTGAATATTCTATATCTTGAAAATGCTGGAAAGAGTTGCCCTAAACGGTTTGGGACCTCGATACTTGGCGGAGCGCCTACTCCCACCAAGGTCTACCCGGATCACCCGTGCGAGCCAGGAGGTGAGGTGAGGCTGAGGAGCCTGACGCCGAGAGAGGCCCGGATGGAGAAGACACAAAACTGGGCCTTCTCGGCGGTGGCTCCTCGCCTTTGGAACAATCTCCCTCCGGAGATTCGCGCGGCCCCTATGCTGGGCATCTTTAAAATCCAACTAAAAACATGGTTCTTCACTCAGGCCTTCCCTCCAGTCAACTCTTGATTTTCTTCTGATTATTTTTCTTCTTATTTTTTCTATTTATATTATAGTTGTTTTGTATTATTTCTGCACTTGCTGTGTTTACTGTTTAAATTTTATGTCGGAAGCCACCTAGAGTGGTCCGTTGGTCCAGATAGGCGGGGTACAAATCAAATAAACAACAACAACAACAACAACAACAACAACAACAACAAGAAGTCGGAATTGATTTGTTGGAGTGTAATTGCTGCCTCTTTGTGGTAAGGAAGCTAGACTAGCATATCAATTTTTTACCCGGCCACTGCTGTTCCCTAGCTGTGGCTATTTGGGGTGGGTGGAAAGAAGCCAAGCTTCTTCCTCCAAGTGCTCCTATGGTGAAAACAACACCTATTACCCTGTTTCCCTGAAAATAAGACCTAACCTGAAAATAAGCCCTAGTAAGATTTTTCAGGATGCTCATAATATAAGCCCTACCACAAAAATAAACCCCTGTTAAGTGAAACCCCACTCTCCACCATTGTGCAGCAACCAGAAGAAGATGATATGACTGTGTTTGAATCAATGTAGATTGCTGTATATGAAAAAAATATAAAATCCCCTGAAAATAAGCCCTAACGCGTTCTTTGGAGCAAAAATTAATATAAGACCCTGTCTTATTTTCAGGGAAACACGGTACTCACAACAAATTCATGGTAAAGCTAACACCTGCTGTTACACTAGATAGCTTGGCCTCTGCTGACCAGGCCAGCCATGAAAGGATGCCTTATAGCAGGATTGGACCAAGAAAATGTTACTACCCAAATAGGAGAGTCCTTTAGCACATTTGAAGGCAGCAGGCTAATGGAGGGGGGAAGCAGGGAACGGCAAATGGTGTGTATACCTTTGTTTTCAGCATCTGACTGCAACTCCCTGAGGCAGTTACACCACCCTAATACAAGTGCTGGTACTGGCCTAAGTTGTTTTGCTGCCTGAGTTAAAGAACAAGATGGCATGCTTCTCTTTCTTCTATAGAAACCAGCCAGAACAGCAGATTAATGTTACTTTAATACTGGTTGTTGTGGGTTTTTCGGGCTCTTTGGCAGTGTTCGGAAGGTTGTTCTTCCTAATGTTTCGCCAGTCTCTGTGGCCGGCATCTTCAGAGGACAGCATTGGCGAAACGTTAGGAAGAACAACCTTCAGAACATGGCCAAAGAGCCCGAAAAACCCACAACAACCATTAGATTCTGGCCGTGAAAGCCTTTGCAAATTACTTTAATACTGTTTGTCACACCAGACTAGTTTGAGGAGCACAAGGGAGGCTGCTTAGAACACACATGTGCCCTACGAAAGAGGAATCCAAGAACATCTGGGGATCCAAAGTTGGGAATCACTGTCTTAGAATCTCTGTATTAATTAGAAGCATGCCAGAAGATTCTGCCTTTATGCTATCCAGTGTTTGGTAAATACAATTTAGACAAATTTCTCCTGTAAGGTTTCGATTTTAACCAGCATGATGCAGTGATGTAGAATGTTGGACTGGGATTAGGGAAACCATGTTTACATTCTTCCTCTGCCATGAAATTCACTGGGTGACTTTGGGCAATTCATATTCTTAGAGCTTGATCTACCTCACAGGATTATGGGGAAGACAGAGTGAGGAGGAGGGGACCCACTAACAGCACCTTGAGATGAGGAAAGGAAAGGA